AGTAGTTAATTTACTGATAGAAATTTGAATAAAGTTGCAAGGAATCATGTGATGGGAATTAAAAAAAATAGCTTTCTGTATTGTGGCTATTGTACCTGGGTGAATAATAAAAACTAACTTGAAATTACAAGTTTGTAATTTCATAAATGCTACAGAAAAAAACTACAAAGAAAAAATGTTAGTGAAACACAACTCCCTATGTGTTTGTGTTTCTAACTTGCTTTTCCACACTCATTTTTCATTCAGTTCTTTTCATTTGTCTGTTTCAGGAAAGTGAAGGATATAGGTGGAAGAGAATTAAAAATTTAAACTTCCTATTTAAAAATTTAAAAAAAATTAAAAATACAACTCTCCATTATATGCCAATGCTTGAGTATTTCTCATTTTTCAAATTATGTCACTAAATTGATATCCTTTTTGATAAATAGTTTAAGCAGGCTTTCAAAAATCAGTAAAGTTTGCATGTTGTATTTTTCCCAATAAATGCATTTTAAACACTACTTGTCTTACTGAAATTCATAACACCTAAATGTTAAATTGTTGATGAAGAACAGATTTCATGTTAAGAAATGATGCCTTCTTGTCCTCAAGGAAATAAATCTAGGTATAGAGAAACACATGAAAATAAGTGATTTAAATGCAGTGGAAAGATAGCCAGGTATATTGGACAGTATGGAATCATGTAGGAGGAAGTTCCCAGTAATTGAAATGCTGTGAGAAAAAGGGAGGAAGTGATTCCTCAGCTGAATCTTAAAAGATGACTTGATGTTAGAAAGGCAGAGGAAGAATGATTCTATGAAGGAGACCAAGGTGAGAAGCAAAATATACAACAAAAAGATAGAGGAGGAAATGCAGTAGGAATCTGATTAAGTAGTACCTTGTCGTCTTCACTTCCTGGTTTATTGATCATCTCCATTCCTCTGGTTCATTTATTCACCAAACAAATATTTCAGTAGTTCTTATGTGCCCTGCAGGATGTTTCATAGTAAAGAGCTTGAACTTTGGACTCTAAGTGAGAATAATAGAATTTATGATGGATTGTGCTTTAGGATATGTTACTTGGCATTTCTGTGTAGGGAAAAATTGAAAGATAAAACTGTGTGCAGTTAGGGAAGTTGTAATAGTCCATGAATAATTGATGGTGGTCTGCATTAGTTTAGTGGTTACACTGTTGAGAGAATGAGACAGATTTAAGAAATATTTAAGGGAAACATTAGTCCATTTCTCTTTTCCTTTTCACTATGTTGCCTTTATTCTGGTCTCAGAATGTGCTTCACTCTCTGAAGGAGATTATCTCTGACACTTTGAGAGAACTTCTAACTCTATGTGTGTTAGATATTGCCCATCAAAAGAACAAAGACAAAAATTTCCACTCTGACCCAGCCATTGTTCTTTAGTCTGATCTCCCCACAACAGATATCTTATGAATAAACAAGAGAAGAGATATCTGAATATTTTGCATCTGCACAGTTGAATGAGGACCAACTATGGACTATTTAATCTATCCCCAGCCCTTCAGCTGAATTTCAGTTAAATAATCGAAGATAACCTGGACTTATATTTGCAATTAGCAAGACAGAAAATTAGCAAGACAAAAACAGTGTTAAAATAGCAGTTTTATTTATTGGTCCTCCCTGGGGTTATAAGGGAGTAAGTCTCAGCACTATGAAGCTCTCTGCAGCCACTGCAGCTGAGTTCAATCCCCAGCCAGGGAGCTACCCAAATGGCACAAACAGACCTCTTCTGTCTTCCTGCTCCTCCCTTCAACAGTGTATTTCAGTCAATCCACCTGTTCTGCTCTCCACTCTGTCTCTGGTGAATCCTCTCACCCCCCACACCCCGCCACACCTCTGGCCTACACTCCAGCTCTTGTATGCATATGTAAGTAAAATAAATCTTTAAAAATTTTTAAAAATCAATCTTAAAAAAAAAGAGAGATTTATTAGCATATTTGTAATATTGATATACGTCATCTTGGATTTTTTTCCCAGTAAAATATTTCTAATATATGAGAACTGACCAAACTATTACAATGGTTAGATTAATTTCTTATTAATAAATTATTTTAATTCAGTTCCAAATAAGGTTATATTCATAAAATCAAAGGCCTTAACTATATTTATGCATCTAAGAACTGGGCTGTGGGCCAGAGGTGAGAGGATTCATGTGAGAGGATTCACCTGAGACAGAGTGGAGAGCAGAGCAGGCCAACTGACTGAAATACACTGCTGAGGGGAGCAATTACACTGCTGAGGGGAGCAGCAAGAGAGACAGGAGAGGTCTGGTGCACCATGTGGGTTAGCTCCCTGGCTGGGGATTGAACTCGTGCCACAGTGGCTGGTGATAGCTTGATATCACTGTGTCTTTAAGACCTGGACCACCAGGGAGGCCCAGATCTTGACTATTTTATCTGAAAATATAATACTACTCTTACATATATAAATACATTTGAATTGCTAATGAATATTTCTAATTACACTTTGAAGAACTGAACATGTTAGGAAAATTCAAGTTGTGTGTAATGGATAAGTTAGATCATTTTTTATCTTCTATTCTCATAACTGAGTGTCACTTATCAATTTGTTTTTATTTGAGAATATTAAGGAAAAATTATATTTAAATCTAATATTTCTTTAAAGGACATCAGGTATGCACCTAGAACATCTAGAATGTCTCTAATATATCTACACAGAATTTAAGTTAGATATTTTTGAAGCGTTTTCAGTTGTATAAAATGAAAACTAAAATTTCAATATTTGAATATTACAACAAAATCTGTGATGAATGTTTTCAACAATTATAAGCTAAATGTTTCTCTTCTAGAAGTACATTTCGTTGCATGATGGAGATTGCAGCTTAACCTTTGAAACAATAGAATAATTATAGCTTTATTTATCAATTATAAACATATTAAAGTGAAATTACTTTATCCTCAAAATAAGAAATTGATTAAAATAGATTATTTCAAAAAGTAATAGCAAAGATGGAGTGAACTCTGGGTCATATGTGGGATGGGACTGCTTTTAATATCTTAATGCTTAAAAATTAAACAGTAATAAACATTTTTACACTAGAGTCAAACTGAATTTGAATTACAGATATATATCATTTTAGTTCACATACTTCCAGAGAGACAGGTGTTCATTTATATATACATCAAGATATCTATAGCTTATCTGTAAACTTTTAGAGTTCCAGGAAAATTTAACTGTTAAAATGAATAGGCAAAAGTTTTGTTCTTCATTGATGCTTGTGTAATGCATAATTTTTTCAAGAATATTCACTTGATTTTTGTGCTCCGCCCTGCTAAAAGGCAATGCGTGTATACCTGACTCTCTGCGGGTAGAGTAGAGACCTGGAGTATAACAACAGACCCGTCTTACATATCAGTATGTCTAAATTCCCTCCAATATCTAGAGCATTATTTGCATATACCTGACTATATTATCTTGTGTAAATATACCAAAATTGTTTTGTAAATTATATAGAACTATATAAATGTAAGCTGTTATTAACATGTAAATCATATTTTACATGAATTATTTTTATCAAATAATCACTTAAAAATTGAAGTATTTCTACTCATTAAACAGGTGCTTAAAGAAATTTCTACTTAAAGACATCAAAACAGTCTTTAACAATGAAATGATATGCATCTCACCCAAAAGAGACCATTTTCAGACTATTTAATACATGTCAATAAAATTGGTCCATAAATTTTTGTTAACTGTTCAGTAGCATATCAATATATAATAATTTAATGAATTTCAGTTTTCAGGATTTTATAGGAACTGAATTTTATTCCTATTTTCATCTCTTTATAAAATACCAATGTAATGCCAATATCACAAAATCTATTTTACATAAGTACATTCTTAATAATTAAAGGCATTCAACAATCATAAACTTTCAGAATATAACCAATTTCATCTATGCAATAAGTAGGAATAGGATCTCTTTGGAATTTTTTCTGTGTGGAATTCTACTGATAATACATTTCAGAATACTGTAATATAAAAATGAACAGAGGGAAAATTTTCATCATCATCTCTTGAGCATTGTACAATGCAAATTTTATCACTTTTTTCTCAGGCAAAACACAAACCTCTCACCTATTAAACATGATAAATTAACATAAAAGATACACTAGACTCCAAAGACAAAATGGAAGAGATAATATTACTCATTGGGAAGTCCAAACACAATGGAAGAACTCGAATTATGTTTTACTGTTATTCCTCTGTAACAAAAGAACAATGAAAGACATTGCAAATTCATCATGAATATTCTCTTTATTTGTGCTTTCTTTCTGAGAAAATGTATTCTTTGTTATATTGAATAAATGTATTTTCTCCCAATGGTAAAAAATAATATATTGGATGCATTTTCTATTAATATTTAATACAAATTTGAAAGTTATTTCATTCAGAAAAATGTTCCAAAATTTAAAAAAAAAAACTGAAAAAAACAGCATCTAAATTACAAAATAAATGGCAGGAATGATATCTACAAAATAAGTGTTTTTTTTTTTCACAATGCCAAACGAAGGGAAATAGTTTGGTTCTACAGGTATAACTGTGGTCTTGAGGGGAAAATATATTCTTCATATGGGAAGAAATGCAGTACAATGAGTCTGAAATTTGTATAATTGAAAATTTCAGCAAGGTATGTGCTATAATCATCCCATCTCAAATGATTTCTGAGCATGAGGCAATCATATTTCTACTTTAAGCAGAATACATACAAGATGAAACTCAATTTAGAATACAAAATATGCTAGATAAAATCCCAAAACATCCTTAAAAAATACATGCTATAAAGGAAATATGGAAATTATAACTGAGTTGCCTTAGTAGAGCATCTACTGACCCAGGGCCTAAGGTGGCCTGAAACTTTACTTACCTAGCTATGCACCATAAATGGGCAAAGCCTAGAGAGTAGGTTTTATCAGTAAATGCTTCATAAACTTGCAAATGTGGAAAAGATTTGCTGTCTTGTAGGTAAAACTCAGAAGATCCTAAAATGCAGAAGGAGATATTTGGACACTTCTTTGCCTAAGATAAGATCTGTCATGGAATTTCCTAAACACAGTCTGCTGTCAAGTAAGTTTGCCGTCAGAATTTACTATGGAGTGCTCAAATTATAAGCTAAAGATTCAGATTAATAAAGTGGTCCTAGGTCCTTTTCCCTTTTCACTTGAAAGCAGCAGCAAAAACAGTTTAAAAAACACTTTAAAATTTTTGAAGGAAATCTAAGATTCCTTTTTATAAATAGAAGATTGACAGAAATCTTAAGTTAAGGAGACAAAATAATAGACAGCCTGCGTGATAGTCTACTGAAACAAGTATTTCATAGTTGGACTTATCAGATGCATACTATAAAAGTAATGTATATGATATGCTTAGAGAAGCAAATGGAAGTATGAGTAAGCAAAAAGACTTGGTAGATTTGAAAAAGTAATTGTATACATGATTATAAATTTATATGTGTATTAAATATAATATCAATGTAAACATATATATATATATATATAATATAGAGATACCCACATACCCAGATATATATGTGCAGTCATATCATTACTTAATGGTGAAGCCATGTTCTGAGAAATTTACCTTTAGGGAATTTAGTGATTGTGAGAAATGCTGTAGAAATAACAGTAAATTCAACATCACTGTCAGGTTCAGCCCTTTCTTTCAACATCGCAAACTTTGTGCTTTGGTTGTGATTATTATGGTGTAGAGAGGAAGGCTCCCCTTTGTCTGGTCTTCAATTCTAGTCATTAGAAATTTCTCCTTATCTCTAATAGTGATTCTTAAATTTTTGTTACAAGCTCTTCTCACATAATTGTTGTAGGATTCTCTCAATACTTTGTCAGTCTCATCACTTCTTCTCTCAATACTTTGTCAGTCTCATCACTTCCAATGAAGTAGATTCTTTAACAGCTTCTGTCTCCTTATTCTTCTTATCCAAGGTCTCAGCTATAGTGGAATGGGACAGACCTGACAGGCGAGCAATAAACATCATCAGTTTTCCACTTTAGTTCTCCTTAAGTACTTTTAATTTCATTCTCTGTTCAGTTACTAAATGTAGTCTGTCACTGACACATTGGTGGTGAATTTTGTCCATTTAGGGTCATGATAAGGAAAGCAATATGAGATTAAACCAAGCACAAGGGAAAATGATGCTATCAAGAGGTACAGCAAACACGAGGTAGATGAGATGGCTGAAGCTACTGCCAGCAGAAAACACTGTGATGTTGTAATGGCTATGATGTCACTAGGCAATAGAAAGCTGAGGACTCCTTAGTATATGTGGTACATCATTGACTAAAATGTCATTCAATAGTTCATTACTGTATACTAGAATGTAAATTTCAGTTGAACTCTCTGTTTCTGATATTGATGAACTAAATTATCAGAAATAACCTCATAACTATGACTCCTACAGATAACATTAACAAAATATTTCATCAAGGTGATTGAAAATTTGATAAGATCATTAAAAATGCTAGGTAAAGTCGAAATTCAAAATTCAGAGAAATAAGTATGCAAGAAAATTTCTTTATCTAAGAATAATTCATGAGACTGGTAAATTTGAGAATAGTCATAGGGGAGTAAAGCAAAGCCCGTGAATTATAGGGTATGGAAATTCTTTGAAGAGTCAGTCTGTTCTCAGTGCTCGTGTCCACTGGAAGTTGACCAACCTTCCTGAGGAACTGACTAATGTAATGCACCTGAATCTTCTGAAAGATCTCACACCTTAAGTTTAAATGAAGGTTGTTTTATACTCTCAGTGACTACAGTCAATGAGCAGACATAGAGAGCTTTTTTTTTCAAGATTTATTTATTTATACAAGCACTGGGGTACAGGCCTGAGGTGTGGTTGGGTGAGAGAGTTTACCAGAGACAGAGCAGGGAGCAGAACAGGCAGAAGGACCAAAGTACACTGCTGAGGAGAGCAGCAGGCGCGACAGGAGACGTCTGCCACACTATGTGGGGCTCTCCCTGGCTGGGAATTGAACCGGTACTGCAGAGGCAGCAGACAGCTTCACAGTGCTGCACTCAACCTGCTGCACCACTGAGGAGGCCCCCATGTGTGGGGGCCTTTTTCTTTAGGCTTCAAAATATACTTTCAAACATTTGTGGGTTTTTTTGTTTTTGTTTTTCAATGATGTGCACACAAGAGAGGAAGTAGCGAAATAAGATATGTAAAAGGTGAGGATTTTCAAAACAAAGTCATTAAACTATAGAACCAAGGGGAACAATTTATTATTTTTAAAAATGAAAATTAAATCCACAAATATACACATGATAATATGATTGTTGTAAGCAAAATGCAATGACAGATTCTTCAAATGAAAGGGCAGAAATGGAGGGAAGAAAGATCAGTATAAAAAGTGGGTGTATCGACCTCAGAACACAGACCATGCTTTGAGTAGTAATTGAACTCTATATAAAAAATATTAAAAACATTACAGTTTTATTTAATAAGTTGTTTAACAAGACATAGTTATAAAGTCAATGATCATAGGTCAATTGAATTTCTTTTTCTAGAAGACTTTTGGAAATAATTTAAAAAATATTTCTTTACAATAAAATTTTTAAAATACATATTATTTTGAAAAAAAATCCAATAAAAGGTAAAGGATCTATATTATAATAAATGAAAGCTTTATAGAAATAATTTCACATTGGAAAATCAGTATTGTAAAGATATCTGAATTCTATACTTTGATGCAGAGATTCAGTTCAGTGTCAATAAAATTATAACCAGATATTTCATGGGAATTGACAGACTGATTATAAAGAGCCAAATATTCATAAGAGCAAAGATCCAAGTACAAGCAAAATTTTCCCATGAAAGAATTCCTTGGAGAGAGAGGATATGTTATAAATTACTTGATTTATAACAAATATTTGAATAAAACTCTATGGTATCTGCTCATATACAAATAAATGGACAAATTATTTATGAAAATATAGCAGAAATATCATCTTAGATCATAAAGAAGATGGGCTATTCTAATAATACTGACTTATATTAAAGCTGCCTTCTATTAGCTATCAGTCTTAGTTTTGGTTTTTTTTTTTTTTTTTGGCTGTTTTTAAGGTTTCCCTCCTTTGATTTTCAGCAAAACTATTATTTTGGAGTTTGCTTTGTTGTGATTTGCTTTACATTTATCTAATTTTGGATTCATTGTGCTGTTGTCATGTCTCTCAGTAAATTTTTATGTCAGTTATTACATTTTCAAGTGTGGTATATAGTTACTTTTCTCTCTCTCCTCTGAGATTAATTACAAGCATGATACACCTTTTACTGTTTACTCCATGTCATTTGTATACTTTTGGTATAATCTTTCCTTTCCTTTTTCCAGTCATTTCATTGCTCTTTTGTACTACATAGTTTCTTTTTTTCCAATTTTGACTAACAGTTTCATCCCTAAAGTTCTTAATTTCTGTTATTTATTATTTTCAGCTTTAGAATTTTTATTTATTTTTTCAAAGATAAAGACCTCTGCCAACATTGTTAAACTATTCTTGCATTTTTCTTTAACATACTAAGCATGGCTTGATTTTTTAATATGCAGATGATGCCTTCCTCATCTATATTTCCTGAATGTTTCTCTAATATCAAATTGTCTTTCTTGCTCTATGTGCATGGTGATTTCAATTAAGTACTATATGTTATAGATTAAAAAGTAGAGATAATTTCATATCTTTTTTATTTATTTAAATTTTATTTTTATATTCTCCATACAATTACAACCCCCTTATTTTGACCCCAAGCCCTCCTTTCCCCGCCCCCCACCCCCCACAGAGTGTCTCTGGTTCATAGTTGTTTGTTGATTTTGATATTTTCTTTCTTATAGTTATTCATTTTCCTGGTCCCTTATTTAAGTTTTCTAGATTCCTGCTATGAGTGAGACCATCCGGTATTTTTCTTTTTCTTTCTGGCTTATTTTTCTAATTTCATCTCTTAAAGCACTTGAGTTCTTTACAAAGCATTTATAATTTATATTTTATTCTGCCAGATGGATAAGGCCAATGGCAATACTCAGTCTAATCCAATCTGGTTTTTGATGTACTTTGAAGTTATGCTTCAGTGTTAGCAAGAGTTTGTTTCCAGTCAACCTGCACACTTAAGGTCCAGCACTTTCCTTTTCCTTCTTCGTGCCTGCTGGGTTCATCATTGGTCCCGCTCTTTGATTGATCCTGAACTTCAGGATTAGTTTCTTTTAAAATTCTTGTGACTCTCTCCAAAATTCCTTTTCAGTTTTAAGCCTGATAGGACAACATAGCTTTAAATGTTTAAAGGCTTTTTTTTTTTTTTCCCTCTCAGATCCTGACTCTACCTCCTTATTTTCTTAGTAGCTGGGTATCTTACAACATATATTTTCAATATATATTTTTCCACTTATTCTGAACACTATGTGGGTTTGCTCAAGTTACTGAATTCATTGTTTTAAGAAAGGAAAATCTGGTAACTCTTCTTTGGAAATGAAAATAGACAGTAATGCCATTTTACAACAGTCTGTTTTCTACTATCTTTTAAGGTCATAAATATAAGTAGGCTTAAAGTTCTCCATATTTTTACTATAGGTTTGTTTGTTTTTATGGCCACCTGAGCATCCAAACCCTATTATAGCTAATAGAAATTGATGATTCAGTTAAAATATATATGGACAAGTTCTGCTAACTTTAACCATTGACATTGCTGCCCAGGTCTACTTATTGGTTTCAACAGAAAAAAATGTGTGCTCCAACATCTTCTGCTGACCTCTTCATTTTCTTAAAAACCAATTTACTTGCAGATAGGGACAGAAAAGCAGGGAGTGCATACTGGTGAGAATTATGAAACAAAGATTAATGAACGGTGCTTGTCAAAGATTTGCTGAAGTCAAGTATTTTGCACAAGCTGCCTGATACAGCAGTCATGCATTCATTGAGTCTACAGAGTTTAGGACATAAAAATGGAATCATGCCAGATGCGTGAGCTAAAGAAATGTGAGTGCTTGAATGGTAGCTGTGCATCCCACGTACTTCACCTTAATAAAGCCTGGCAAGTCACCCTTCTTAGACTTTATTTTTCCCTCTGTCAG